TATGCTATGCTATGCTATGCTATGCTATGCTATGCTATGCTATGCTATGCTATGCTATTAATATAACGTAATATATTGCTCCTTTTCCATTTTATTCTTTTATCTTCCTGCCTAGTTCAAGCCAAGAAACACAATATGTAGACAAGCGTTAGACAAGAATTGTGACTTTCCCGAGTATTGCAATGGGAGCTCGGCTATTTGCCCGGGCAATGTTTACGTCCAAAATGGCATCGATTGCGCTTCTAACACCGGCTTCTGTTATGGTGGATTCTGTCAATCAGCCGACTTGCATTGCCAGGAGTTCTTCGGATCACGTATGTCGAAATGGCTAATTTTGATTCTTCTCTTCTCCCCTTAATGCAGACAAGGCTTTTCCTGACTATGCTATAACACCATCAAGCAACCCTACCTTCCTCCTGGGGGATCACTTTTTTGCGTGCACAAAGATGATTCTTGGCCTTTTTTTTTAAACCATCAGCTTTATCATAATTCTTGGGAATGATCAGCTGCTGCTGCTCAACTTACAGATTACCCCAAACGATGGATACCAGCATGCCATGGGGAGAACGAATGACTCTAAGGCCCACCTCAGTTTATAGCATGAAACAAAACTAAACGGAGACCTGCTAGTCAGGAACACACAGACACACACAGACACACACACACATTTCTGTTCTCATCCAAGAAGCTTCTTTAGCTCTGACTGGATAGTGGGGAACGGAAGGATTTATACTCCTTGCAGACAGCTAGTGTCACACCCCTGTTGGAATCTGATCCTGAGGGGGAGGCTGAGCAGCTGACAGGGAGTGGGAGTGTGGCTCCGTTGGCTGTGGAAGAAACTGGGGAAGGGCAAAGTTCGGCTGGGCAGAGGTAGAACAAAGGAGAGGGAGTTCAGAGGAAGATCCAGGCTTACCCTCTCTTCATCCTTGGGTACGCAGGGAGGAATAGAGAAGGGAGCAACGTGAATTGTGTGGCTTACCGGGGAGGAAAAGGCCTTGATTCCCTTCATTAGTTGCAGCTGGGAACACAGTGTTTACAAAGGGAGGTTGCACACAGCAACTTGTTGAAAGCAAATTGTGAGTTATCTTTTATGGTCGAGGCTTATCTGGGTTCCTGGCGTCATCCCAACTGTATGTGTTTTGTTGGCCTTTGAAGTCTGCAATTCCTTATCCTGCCCTGTCTAGTTAATTGCTGCAGCGTGGTTTGTGTTGGTTTTTATTTACAGTTTATATGTACTTCCTTTTCGGACTGAATTTCCATCACTTAAAGACTGTTCTTGGGAGAGTTTTTTTCTCCAGCCGATGGTAACTGGACACTGGGGGCAAAGTTGGAGGTATTAAAGGGAGTTTTCTTACTTATGTGACTGTGTTGCCTTTGTGCCATGCCCCGGGTCATCACAGCTGGACTTTTAGCTATACAATTGGGTATGAAAACCCGGAGAAGGAATAGATTTCCAGAGGAAAAATTGCAGACTACGGGAACCATTTGGGCTACTCAGATGACACTGAGGATACAAATAAACCTTCAAGTAGCCTCAACGACCCTCTCAAAGGATGCAAATAACCAGCTGTCTGCAAAGAATATAAATCCTCTATAAAGCTTCTTGCATGAGAAGCAAAACATCTTCAAAGGTAAAAACAAGGCAGTCCAGTAGCCTCCTGAAAAAAGCACTTTTGGGACGAACTGTTATATCCGTATATCAGTTAAAACATTGCGAGGGAAAAAGTTGTGAGTGATATAGTTGCTTTTCTAACCAAACTCTGCCAAAAACATATAGGGTCAAGAAACGCCCCGCAAGTCTGCTACGAAGTGAACAACCAGGCTGATAGATTTGGGCACTGTGGCATCGATTTGAAAAGGAAATTTAAAACTTGCTCTTCTCGGTAGGTGATTAGGCAATAAAGAATACGTTGAAACGCTCTGTGTCAACTCATCAAATATTCCTGTGATCTTGCCAACAGAAAGGGAGGGGGAAGCGGTGGGCAGCTTGCATTCCGTAAATGTTTTCAAAGATAGTAACTAGGTGACTGAAATTTCTGTTGTGCAAAATTCTAACTGGAGAGCATGATTGATGACTCTGGGCTATGGAGGTGTCCCATTGGAGAATATGAATTACAATACGCCCAGGGAGTGGAGGGAAAACCAGGGTCAAGGGTGACAATGAATGATGTGTCTCAGAGTCGGTTACACCCAGGCAGTGCTGGCATGTTTACTCCTAATAAATCTTCTTTAAGTTCTGGAAGTTGGCTAGAGACTCATGATTTAAATGGGAGTAACTGCTGGAGTCCTGGCACTCTGTTTTGGAGAGAGGGGCCATAGGAGGGAATGAGGTTCAGTCCCCGGCCTGAGTTTTCTTGGACCAGTTTATAGAACATAGAATAACAGGGTTGGAAGGGACCTTGGAGGTCTTCTAGTCTAACCCCCTGCTCCAGCAGGAGGTCCTGTACCATTTAAGACAAATGGCTGTCCAGTCTCTTTTTGAAAACTTCTGGATGCAAGGATTTCACTGAGTAATTGTATCATAAATTAATTAATTATAATGGATTACATCACATCATATCACATCACATTGTACGTTTGATGTGTTATATGTTGCTATATTGCATTAGATTGCAGATTATATATTATATGTTATTACATGTTATATTGTATTGCACTGCACTATACTTTATTATAATATTGTATCATGTTATCCTATTTTATTTATTTTAACATATAATAATTTTTATTTCCAGTATTGGAGATTGTGGACTTTAATGCACATTGTCCCTTCTCTTCTCTTCTCTTCTCTTCTCTTCTCTTCTCTTCTCTTCTCTTCTCTTCTCTTCTCTTCTCTTCTCTTCTCTTC